TCCAGATAGTATATAATTTAATGTAAGACGACCCCACTGAGTTTCTCGCCGAATCTTCTCAGTGGGTCGCGTTTCCGATCCGGTGGTAGATTCTGCTCATGCTAGAGCCAGTGTTAGCAACACTTCCGGTTTGAGCACTGTGAGCTCACCTACACGTTAAGGCGAAGCTCAAATAGCTTCCCAAGGCTATCAGCATAGGTTAAAAAAAATTAAAAAAATATATAAGATGGACATCAACCACACAAATGCCGCTACTCACCTCGAGGCATAAGCTGTACGTCTCACTTGTTTTACAATATAACAGCTGCACCACTCTACAAATCTAGACGCATTACTGCTTCACGATAGAAAATAAGCAGGGTATTGGGTACCCACCCACTCGTGCAGGCGTGATGTTATTCCTTCCTCCTATCTCGGAAGTCAATCGTGAGTGAACATTTGTTAAGGAGAAAAATGTGTACCTGCCTGCTTGCGGCATTCAAACATCGTCATAGTCGCAAATAAACAAACGCTCATAACATAATGCTTTTTCCGGGTCATTGCTAATATGATAAATTAAAATAATAACAGTTATTAAATTTATTTGTAGAGATTTCAAGTCCAAATCCTGTAATAGTTTTTACAGCAGTTCTACCATTATTACTATTGTGTTATTCCGAAGCTGCAGGCGCAATTATCTTATATGCTTAGATGCAAATGTCGGCCTCTTTTGACAAATAGTCGTGATGAGATTTACTATTCGCCACTAGATGGAAAAGTTTGAAACGAATATGTTTCTCAACGTAAGATGGCGCTACAATTACAGAAATCCATCTGAATTTGTTTACCTAAACAAAAATTGGCTTGCAGCTTAATCCACGTTAATTTGTGCAGTCAAATATTTTTCAAAACATCAAGGATGTCAAAATCTAGGACTCGTCGATTACGATGAAGAGTTCGGCGTGCAAACTAGCTCATAGACACAGCCGACTGAGTTTCTCGCCGGATTCGTCAGTGGGTCGTGAATTGGACCTGGTGGTAGATTCTGCGAAGCACGATTCTTGCTAGGGCCAGTGTTAGCAAATTTTTCCTAATTCCAAATATTTCGCATTCCGGGCGACGAGGTGCAGGTAGCGGCCGAAACAGTCGTGTCCCGTGAAGGTTGTCCATGCCTGCTCTAAGGTAACTGATCAAAAGCTTTTTCATATCTCATTTGTTTCACTCATAAGCTCGCGCTTCGGAAATCAGATAAGTGTTCAATCGAATCGTATTAGGCAATTCCACTGACATCAAGGCATTGTTTAAGTACAGAATGTTGGTAATGACGTTCATTATTGTCATTAATGTTTTATTGAAAATAATATTTACGAAAGAATCGGTGGTGTACAAATGGTGGGTTCATTTGTACGAATTCGTTGTGGCTGAAAGGATAAAACCCTCGGTATGTTCAAAGCCCACATGTGTGGTGACCATCCTGCTTATTACTACCGCGAAGCAGTCATGCCTACCAGTTTGAAGGGTCTGATCGCCGTAGAATTAAGACTTTCAACTCATTTCTCAATGTGAGTGGTGGCAATCAGGCTATGAAATCTATGGGCTTTGATAACCTTCAAGTAGCCCTTGAATTCTTGAACCATCAATGAAATTTAGAAAAGTAATGCTGTGCCCACTGTGCCACCGATAAAGCCCGTCGTTAACTGAAAAGAATCAAAATAGTATATGGTAAATTACAATTTTAAACAAAGAGATGAATAATCGAAAGACTGATTAATGAAATTTTAACGTTACTAAATAACTAGTCTCGCCATTAATACTGTTACATAAAAAAAAATCTTTTTTGAACTTTTTAATTATTTTGAATTTGAAACACATAGGTAAGTATATTATTTTAAAAACGTCTTGCAATTTTGCGCCATTTCACATATTTTTTCGTGTTCATTATCAAATTATAATATGGAATGGTGTGTTAAAGAAAATAGAATTGCAGCGATCGCCTTGCACAATTTGGGTATGGAGCCTTCGGTCATATTCTAGACACTTCAAAAGCTTGGTATCAGCCGTGTGTTCGTATATCGTGTTTACAAGAGATACAACAACACTTCGTATGTCGAAGACCAAAAAATTTCGGGGCGGCTGCGTGCGGCTAGAACTGCAAAGGCTGTTAATGCTGTTAAAGCCAGAATTCGTCGAAACCCCATTAGGAAACAAAACATCTTATCCCCAGAAATGAAGATTCCCACTAGGACTCTGTCACGTATTTTAAAACAAGACCTGAAGCTCAATGCTTATCATCGATTTACAGGACATGCCTTAAATCAATCTTTTCAATTAAAGACAGTGAAGCGATCAAAACGTCTTCTGTCGCGATACGCAGGTGAAAGGCACAGAAATATTCTCTTAACCGATTAAAAATTTTTCACGATTGAAGAATACTACAATAAGCAAAATGATAAAGTGTAAGCTCACAGTTCTAAAGAAGCTGCTCAAGGGATCGGAAAAGTACGACGTGGTCATCATCTTGCGTCAGTGATGGTTTGGTGGGGCGTGTCCTATCTAGGAGTCACAAAACTACATTTTTGTGAAAAAGGAGAGGAAACTTCAGCCAAAGTGTAGTAATAGTAAAGTATACAGTCTTTGATCATATTGTGAAACCTCGCAGCAATACACTTTTTGAAAATATACCGTGGACTTTCCAGCAGGACTCTGCACCTGGTCACAAGGCACAAACCAAGCCTAGCTTGAAACCAACGTTCTGAACTTTATAAGAGCTGAAGAATGGCCCTCGTCTAGCCCAGATCTCAACCCTTTCAACTTCAAATTATGTTCAGTTTTAGAGGACATGGCCTGATCTAAACGAGACGACGACATCGAGTCTCTTCAAAAATCTTTGGACTCGCTACTGCTGCGAAATTTTCCAAGGAAACAGTGCGTAAATCCATACATTCGTGGCCAAGCAGATTAAAGCCAAAGATGGCCATTTCGAATAGAATCAAAACGACACGCACTACACTATGATGATTAGTGGGTGAAATAAGATCATCATAACTTAATGTAGGTATGTTTGTCATTGTTTGTAATAGATTGGGGGAAAAGTCTTTTCGCATTATAGTGATGAATTTGTAATAAAATCTCTTTGGCTATACTATTTGTATCTGGCTGGTTTTGGTATCATTAAAAGTTTAAATTTTAAAGAATATAATTCCAAATTCAAATTAGGAAAATGTGTGATTTTTATTTATTTTTCGTACTGTCAAGATGAGTTAATTTAATGAAGAAATTGGATACATTGTAAAATTTTACAAACATGCAACGCAAGCCGCGAAAAATATTTACGATGTTTATGGACCTAGTGCAGTGTCTGTGAGAGTAGCACAAATTTGATTTAAGCGTTTTCAATCCGGAAATTTTGATCTCAAAAATGCACGTCGCGTCGCTCTGGTTACTATTACGGATAAAATGGATGCCATTTTTGAAAAAGTTGAGCAAGATCGGCATATCGTTAGTTACGACGTAGCTAAAGAACTGGGAATTGATCACAAAACAGTTTTGGCACATTTGAAAAAAAATGGGGTACACAAAGAAGCTCGATATTTGGGTACACAAATAAGCTCGATATTTGGGTACACAAATAAGCTCGATACTTGGGTACCTCACGAGCTCACTGAAAGAAACCTAATGAGCCGTGTACTCATTTGTGATTCTTTATTACCACGTAATGAAACCGAACCATTTTTGAAGAAGCTGATAACTGGTGATGAAAAGTGGATCACGTACGACAAGAACGTGCGAAAAGGGTCGTGGTCAAAGGCCGGTCAGGCTTCACAGACTATGGGTAAACCAGGGTTATTAACTCGTAACAAGGTGGTGCTATGTGTGTGGTGGGCTTGGAAGGGTATTATTCATTATGAGCTTCTACAACCAGACAGGACCATCGATTCTGAAATCTACTGCGAACAACTGATTAGATTAAAGCAAGAAGTTGAGAGAAAGCGGCCGGAATTAATTAACAGAAGGGGTGTGGTTTTTCATCATGATAACCCTAGACCTCACACATCTTTAGCCACTCAGCAATAATTAAGAGAGCTTGGCTGGGAAGTGTTAATTACATCGGCCGTATAGTCCTGACCTTGCACCTTCAGATTTCGACCTGTTTCGGTCTCTTCAGAATTCTTTAGGCAGTGTCAGGTTAACATCACGAGAGAACTGCCTGCCAAAACCAATTGTCGCGGTATTTTGATCAGAAGCCCCAAAATTTATATAGCAATGGGATCATGTCCCTACCTATAAGATGGAAAAAAGTTATCGAACAAAATGGTACCTACATACTTTAATTAAATGTAAATAAACTATATTAATTTTTTTTGTGAATTTTCTTAAAAAATGCGAAGAAACTTTTCCCCAACCTGTTATTAAATAATTGATTTTATCAACAGTGAACAAACAGCATTAAAAAATAGCAATGTACACACACAATCCATAACTCTCTATCATTGGACCAATAAATTTTATAATTTATCATACCTAATCAATCTTGATTTTATAATTTTAACGCCAAGTCCGAAATCTTATTAAAAAAGCTTGGCGTGATTTTAAAGCCCCTACGCTTTTAGCAGGATCGCGAGATGTGCCAATAGTTTTATTTTATTATCTACTTAATTCAGTGTTTCTTCAGTTCTAAGCATATAATACAGGTGATTTATTGACCCCTTAACATTTGTGAAGGTAGGTGCACTAGTGGTAAAAAATTAAATAAGGACGAGGGACGTGGCTTTTCGGATTCTTTAAAAAAATCCATAGAAGTTTCAGTAAATTCTCAATATTTTGAACTTTTACTTATTTTCATTTCATCGCATATTCAATTTCATATAAAAACAGCTTCTTTTCTTTCCGTTCCATTTTATTTCCCACCATTAAATATCGTCATCAACGTTAGATGTTCGAAAAAATCGACTAGAAAAAGACGCGAGGGTATAGTCAACAATGACGTTTTGGCCAACCAAACACGCACTGCGCAGCCCTACTTAGGTGGGTGGTGCCGGAGTGGGTTGAAATAATTCTATTTTAGAAATTTTGTTTGTAGTTTTGTAAATTTGATAGATAGCATATATTGTAATCATTATTTTTAGAAGTAAGATTGACCTACATGATAGTATAACTGAATTGAAGCAATATATCTTAGGGAAAACCAGTGTAAGCTATTTTATAACCTATATTAGTCATCAAGAGATTGGATCTTATAGTAATAGACGGTTTCTAGATTAACTTATCCCTTTTTTTAATCAACTGCTTGAAAAACTTCTTCTAAAGTCTTTGTACATCGATGCGATCAAGGGTAAGTGAAATTCATAAAATTTGACTAGTTTATTAAAAAAAATATTTTTATGAAGCTTTACTTTCAAGAAATCAAAATTTTGAAAGTACATACAGAAGCCGCATTAGCTAAAATAACAACTATAGGTTTCAATTATACAGCCCTTCTAATAAATTGTAAAAGTAGATAAAATATACAAAGCACTCAATAAGATATTGTTGAAAAAACAAACCTTAATTAATTTTATTAGAAATTGGATCTTGAATTTATGATAAAAAACACTGTTTTAACTACGAATAATATAAAAAACGCCAACTGCTCTTGCTATCCAATAGAACTAAGGATAAAATTAATGGAAATTTGAATAGATATAAAAGTATTAGAATGAAAATATGCTTCAAATTATTTCACAAACATAAAACTATAACCTTTCAAAGATATGGTAGGTATATGGTATATGGAGAGCATTGATAACATTTTTAAACAATAGAAGTTTCTTGATGAACTCTTTCACTGTATTCAATTGCAAGAAGTATAGATTGAGATTTTCTCACCCATCTATCCATTAAGAACACAATAGATATGTGGAACTCATGCTTTTTCATGTTGTACAAGGGCAAAGCCAAAATACTGTTCATATGACTTCCTAACTTATGTTACTAATGGTGTCTAACTAGTGTACTAATGTGCTGACTTTTTAAAGTAATATCACCACAAATGTAACAAAGTTTATCAGGATCATTTTTGCTTTCTTTTTTTTTTTCATTCTATTTAATAATCACTTAACAATAAAAACAAAAAAAAATACTACGCTCCTCAAATAATAAATTCTTTGAATCTGAAAATGCAACTTAAAAGTGGTTAATTTTGTGTGTAGTAAAAACCAAACCTGATTAAGTGAAAATGTATAAGGGTGTCAAAATGAGGGTTGGAACATAAATTCAATTAAATAATCGTAATTTCAAATTGGATAAACATTTGATACCAAGGATCTCTTATCATGAAATTTCTGAAACCCCAAGTCATGCAAACTGTCAAACCTCAAGGTACTGTTAGTTATTTCCATGTGCAAGGAAACAAAAAAAAAATATTTTTTAGCAATTTATATTATGAATCATGGAAGAGTAGTGAGTGCAAAATTTCAACTTCTGTGAATGTTTTAGTCATTCGTGACCACCAAAACTGTAATGTTGAAAAATACATACCTATTAGAAAACTTGTTGGAACAATAGGTCAGCTAAGAATTCTCAGTTCTGGTTATATAAAAAAGCAGATATTTAGTAGATGTTAGGTTTTGTATTAGTCAATTAGCAATTTTTTTTTTTTAATATTTTATAAAATTCATACAACTAAAAAACAATTTTTAAAATTTTGTTATTCTCAGATAACATTGTCTGCCACCAAAAGAACACAAGTTTTGAAAAGATCATTACTAATACAATATACAATAAAAAATAAACATAAATTAAAAAAGATAGTAAACTAAAATTTTAATAGTATCATGATATTTTTATTAAATCACCGATAGTATTGTAAATGAAAAGTAGATATGATGTAACATTAAAATTTTTATTTGAGAATTCAGTTATGTAACATTTGTATTGCAACAGATTATTGCTAAAAGTTTAATCTGTGTCGGTTGTTGGAAACATGTTTATAACTAGTATGTTAGCTGCTTTATGTGTTTATAAATAATAACTCCAGTCCCAACATTTTAGATGTGTATTTTATGGCTTGATTTTTGCATTATAATAGGAATTTACACTGATTGTGATTATTATTGTTCAATATACTTTTCTACACAATCTTAGCATAAAGTCTATAAAAGAAAACAAAATATAAAGTAGCATAATAATTGTTAAACTATTTTTTTTTATATTATTAATACAATTATTTATTTAGATAATAATGGTATATACTGTTTATACTTTTTATACTGCTTGTGAATCTTTTATTTTTAAATTGCATATTAAGGCTAGTCCTAAAGCAATGTAGTAATTCCTTCAAAACTGAAACCTTTTAAATGTTAGTCATGAGTGCGTTCTATATCTATTAAACTTTATAGCTCTATATATAATATATTCTTTTTTTTATATTATTAATACAATTATTTATTTAGATAATAATGGTATATACTGTTTATACTTTTTATATCTGCTTGTGAATCTTTTATTTTTAAATTGCATATTAAGGCTAGTCCTAAAGCAATGTAGTAATTCCTTCAAAACTGAAACCTTTTAAATGTTAGTCATGAGTGCGTTCTATATCTATTAAACTTTATAGCTCTATATATAATATATTCAAAGGCTGATTAAATATAATTTGTACAAAGCTACTAAGATTGCATTTTGATTAAATTAATTTTATTAAAGATAGGGAATATTTAACGCTTGATTTATTAAATGAGGAAGTAAAAACAAATTAACCAAATTGAAAAAAATATATTATAATATGTACCTAATAATAATAATAATATGTAACCTAACCATTATCCGCTATAGTATATTATGTCCTAAGCTATATTTACTGAAATTGTTCTAACCTATGTTCTACTTATATAATTCTACCTTATATAGGAAATACTTAAAACGTGTTAATATTAATTAAAAAAAAAACTGTCCAAATTGATCTGAACGTCTTAGAGCGTTTAGGCATGCCGCGATTCGCTAATCGCCTAAATTGGGTCAATATCAAGGCTAGCTGACTAATTGCCTGATATCGATAAACCATCAATTATTATTTATCAACTTAATACTGCTTAATCAAAGTATATACATATAATACATCGATAACATTATCGAATGAGTCATTTATTTCTTATATTTTCTTTTATGACTAATCGTTATCTATCTCAATTTTACGTGTCATCATCAACAAAGTTGTTTTATGTTTCCAGTGCTGATTTTGAGTCCCGAGCAAGCGAAGGATTCTATGATTGATTCACGAGCGTAGCGAGTGATTCAAGGTATCCTGTAGAATCCTGAGCGTAGTGAGGGACTCAACAGCACGAGATGCAAAAAACTTTGCTCTCATGTAGCACACATAACTTTTCACCTCAGCAGTGAGAACACATATTACTTAGGAGACATAGAAATGAACAGGAATAGATTGAAATAACTATTAAAAAAACTTAATTTCTTTATTACAAATAACTTTAAATTTTAGGGTATTACGCGTTTCCGAACGTGGTTACTTTGAGGTCGAATTCCAAAATCGAATTTCGAAGGGGTTTGTTTTTGCACTCGCTTTTTTATATGCATGTGAAAGAGACAGAGCACAGTAAAATTCGAATGTTTCAAATTGATGGCTGAACAATGTCAATTCATGGCACTGAAGATTGAAAATTAAAAAGCTACTTTGACCCACGCTCGAATCAAAATCGCATTTTGTTCACTGTTGTCTCACAGCAAAAGCGGCATGTTTGAGCTGCTGAGGTGAATCAATACTATTACTGTATTTCAGTGTTTTTACGAACGTAAAAATATGTGCTCATACAGGCCGGTACTACCTAATTATTTTTGTCGCATATTATTGGGAAATCGGACAGTTTTTATTCTTCGATATTTCACGCAAACAACAAATCACACTACTATGAAATGTCTTTCAGGACCATCGTCCATATTATACGAGTGAACAATCTTTAATATAACTAGTCAGGTCATAAGTATTGTCACACAGTAAAAACTTTACTTTTAGAATGCTGGCCACAAAAAAGTTTATTGAATTCGAATTTCGAATTGTTCATGAAAATAAAAATGTATACTTTTAGAATTTTACTCATTTTTAAATATGGAGTGGACGCTTAAAGAAGACCGTGTTGCAGTTATTGCGTTGCATCGTTGCGGTTACGCGCCAATTCAAATTTTTAACATACTGAAAAATTTGAATATAACCAAAAGATTCGTTTATCGTACCATCAAACGATACAATGAAGACTCTAGTGTAGATGACAGGTCAAGAAGTGGTCGCCCTCGGTCTGTTAGGACTCCAGCAGTGATAAAAGCTGTGAAGGCGCGAATTCAAAGAAATCCCAAACGTAAGCAGAAACTGTTGGCCCTTCAGATGGGGTTAAGCAGAACCACGGTGAAAAGGGTGTTAAATGAAGACTTAGGGCTTCGGGCATATCGAAGAAAAACAGGACATCGTTTGAATGCTCGTCTAATGGACCTGAGACTGAAGAGATGCCGCGCTTTGTTGAAGCGGTACGCGGGAAAAAAATATCGGGAAATTCTTTTTTCGGATGAAAAATTTTTTACCGTAGAAGAGAGCTACAACAAACAAAATGATAAGGTGTACGCACACAGTAGTGAAGAAGCGAGCAACCGTATTCCGCGTGTCCAACGAGGTCATTTTCCATCCTCGCTCATGGTATGGTTGGGAGTTTCTTATTGGGGCTTAACAGAGGTACATTTTTGTGAGAAAGGTGTAAAAACGAATGCAGTTGTGTATCAAAATACAGTCCTGACGAACCTTGTGGAACCTGTTTCTCATACCATGTTCAATAACAGGCACTGGGTATTCCAACAAGATTCGGCGCCAGCTCATAGAGCGAAGAGCACACAAGACTGGCTGGCGGCGCGTGAAATCGACTTCATCCGGCATGAAGACTGGCCCTCCTCCAGTCCAGATTTGAATCCGTTAGATTACAAGATATGGCAACACTTGGAGGAAAAGGCGTGCTCAAAGCCTCATCCCAATTTGGAGTCACTCCAGACATCCTTGATTAAGGCAGCCGCCGATATTGACATGGACCTCGTTCGTGCTGCGATAGACGACTGGCCGCGCAGATTGAAGGCCTGTATTCAAAATCACGGAGGTCATTTTGAATAAACTTAAGTGTCATAAGAATCTATGTTTTGTTAAGTTCATTTTGGTATATGAATGGTTACATAATGAATAAACTTGTTTCAATTATTTTACATTAAACATGTGACAGAATTTATGACCTGACTAGGGACTTATTCAATCTTACCATCATAAAATTGGCGCATATTTCTAGGTGGTTGTCGGAATTCATGTTGTTTGTCTATATGTTCCGGTACTTAACACTTTTTGGATCGTGAGTTTTCTTATCCATCTACGCAATAAAAAAGACATTTCATCCAGAATAGCCTGCTGAGTTTGTTTCACTGGTGTTTATCAGGAATGACTGTCTATTTTTTTGAAATTCTAAGAACCAACATGATTTCAATTACATTTTGTTATAATTGATTCTGGAATGCAAAAAATCGTCACAATTACGATTTTTTTGTTAATACTTAAATAAATACTTAAATCACTATTATTTCACAAAAATGGCAATGTGAGTGACTGTTTTTAATTTTAAATTTTAGGTTATTTGTCATTAGCGTCTGGCTGATTTTATACATTCTGAATTAAAGTATAGGAAAGCCGTTATTCCAATGCTATTGATACTTCGCCCTCATGTCTCAAAGTAGGCTCGGCGACAGTATTCAAGCTGTCTTGGCTTCGAGAACCGCTTAGTGGACCTTAAGATCACAACTCTACGCTCTTTCCTCCATAAAACATGTACAGATATTGATCGATAAACAGTTCCAAAAACCGTACTCGGAATAATTTTTTTATTTCTACATTCAGATATTTACCTGCCCATAATTTACTAATCTGTGTCTTAAATAATTTATCCTGACAATAACAAAACTGTTTATTTACAGAGTTCCACTTTTTAACAAGAATACGCCCCGCCAGTCTTCCTGTGATATTAGATTGTTCTATAGTAAGTATTACTTCAATTAAAAACCAATAAGTAAATTGCGTCTCTTTCGTGGGTACTTCTCAGGAATGGCTCTTGAAACCAGTGGTAGTTTATTTTGACATTGAACAAATACGTTAAATCGAATCAAATCGATATTATTTTTGGTACTTACGTATTAACGCCACCGCGGCAAAAAATTAATGGTTAGTAAGTGTGGACAACTCGAAAAATATGGAAAAGCGAATCAGAGCACCCCACTTTCCACCTGGTGTTGTCTGCCCTACCCCTAGAGTGTATATAAAAAACCGGAGGCGCGGAGGGAGAGCAGTCCTCGCCCGCTGTGACTGAGCACGGAAACAGTGCGAGGCGGAGCGGCCGAGGCTAGGCGACCAACAAGCCGAAGCTGCGAAGCGGAGCACGTTTGACCGTGTTTCGGCACCCAAGGGTGGAAGGGCTGCGCTTCCCGCAGCGCCGGAGATAAGGCGGATTCAAACTTAAGCTCCCTTCGAGTTTGACTAAATAATGCAATTTTGATAAACAAAATTAACCGTTGATATCTTCATAACCATGGGGTTCCGCGGGGTGGGAATGGTGCCGGGAGTAAACCCTTACCCCCCCCCCCCCTCCCTCCCAACGCATTGCTGCTTCACGGCAGAAATAGGCAGGACGGTGGTACCTACCCGTGCGGACTCACAAGAGGTCCTACCACCAGTAATTACGCAAATTACAATTTTGCGGGTTTGATTTTTATTACACGATGTTATTTCTTCACCGTGGAAGTCAATCGTGAACATTTGTTAAGTACTTACGATTTCATTAGAAAAATTGGTACCCACCTGCGGGATTCGAACACCCTTGCATCGCTAGATACGAATGCACAAGGCGTCTTATCCTTTGGGCCACAACGACGACGACGAATATTTATTTAACTCTTTTGCATCTTATCTATATCTATACTTCTATACTAATATAATATATAATATTATAAAGAGGAAAGATTTGTTTGTTTGTTTGTTTCGAATAGGCTCCGAAACTACTGGACCGATTTGAAAAATTATTTTTCCATTAGAAGCCGACATTGTCCCTGATGAACATAGGCTACTTTTTTTTAAAAAAAAAATTATTTTATTTTTTTGTTTCATGTGTGTTTTAATGTTTCCGAAGCGAAGCGAGGGCGGGTCGCTAGTTAATGCTATAAACTTATCAATTTCTTAAGCACATCAATCGCGCAGAAAACAATCTCAAGCATAGCAATCGAAATCTCTATAAATATTTTATAACTCTCCCACCTACGTATGAATGCTTTACAGCAGAGATGGTCAACATGACACTTGCGTCGTCTAACTGCTCAATTTGACTTCTTTGATTTTACAACACACTGTTATTATTAGCTCGTAGAAGTTCGTTCGTTCGTTTTAAATCGAACGTAAACACGTTAATTAGTTTGAATAATATTGAAACAATTACGGGGAACATTACGAGTACCTACACCGATTCTACCTACGGGCTACGGGCGATTCAAAAACTATTCAGCTCAGCTATTGTTTTTGTTATTTCAAAAGAACACGATCAGAATGTTCTTGAACGAATATATGATTTACTTACGTCACATAACTTAATCTGTTTTATGAGATAAAAAAGAACTTGTTTTGCTAATGCTCTATAAAAATAGTTCTGAATGCTAACTTCGGTCGAGAACTTGTGGCCCAAAAAAGAATTGCGTTACTTATGCAATTACTAGTTCCCAAGTCCTTTGGTATATCACCCGAAACCAGCATACGACGGGATGAGGTATCTAAGATTAAACCGATAACTAGACGACTCCAACTAATATTATTATGTGTGTCACATAATACTAGAAATAGAGAAAGAGAATAGATGAAAAGAAATAGCAGGGACCTTATGTGAAATGGACACTGCATAATGACAACTGTCAAATTGGCAGGACTGAAAAAAAAAGTTATAGCAGTAAATTTAGCTCCGAGTCTCTTTATTTTTCACTTATTAAATAACATGAGTAACTGACCGTAAATAGCCTGTATGCTTGGTACTCTCTCAAGTCTTAGTCAAGTAAATTAAAAATTTAAAAAGGGTAGTCAAAAAGTCGTTTAAAATTTAAATGATTTTTAGTTATCTAAAAACGGACTAATGATCTGCAGTCTAAATTGTCTAGACGATTTTATGGGACCACTTTGCTAATAAATTAATTAACATGTAATTTCATAAAAAAAACTACAATATTATCTTGGTATTTCTTATTAGGCCCGCAATAATAACTTCACGCTTCTGTCCACAACTTCTAGTGTAGATATTCTAGCATTTACTGTTCTGGTCATAAAATCGCTATTCGTCATGATCTTCGTCATTTCCGTGGACATTTTGAGGCCCACTCTTTGAAAAGCTCTAGAATCTAAAAGAGTCTGCTGATCGTTGAGTCGAAGTCAATTTTATTCATCTTTCATCTCTATATATAAAAATGAATTGCTGTTCGTTAGTCTCGCTAAAACTCGAGAACGGCTCAACCGATTTGGCTAACTTTGGTCTTGAATTTCTTGTGGAAGTCCAGAGAAGGTTTAAAAGGTGGATAAATATGAAAATGCTCGGAATTAAATAAAAATAACAATTTTGTTTTTCTTTTAATGTGTCCCCCGTCGGACGGATCCTTTTTTTTGCTTTAAGTTTATTTTATACAAAAGCTTAAGTCTTTTGTTTATCGATTGAGGCACTACGAAGTCTGCCGGGTCAGCTAGTTCTGCAATAAAAAACGAATCATTAGTATATATTTACTTCGTTCGCTGTAGCTATTTTATTACTGTAACCAATTTATATGAATTTTATCTAAGCGAATGCACTTATTCAACCTAGAAACATATTTCCTCAAAAAATTATAATTTAAATGAATGAAACTGGACTAAATAATTACTACTACATAATTCAAAAGTCCTGGTTACACAATACATATTATTTTGTAACACTGTGTGAGAATGTTGCATTTGAAATTACTTCAACGATTGCGCTTGTAAATTTTCTAATTTACTGACTGTTTCTAATTTAGAACTCCCGAAAATCGGTCGAAAATCACGAATTAGCCATAAAAATCCAAGTCTAGCTTCTCGCCCGTAACTTCACTTGCGAGAATTCGAGTATTTTAAATTACTTTCCACCAACCTACTTTTCTTAATCGGAGATCATTTATCGCATGAATATAAATATAGCCTGATTGTGTCCTCGAACACATGCGAATGTGACTTTTTTCTAAGCTAAGCTACCTACTAATGCCTACCCATAACTACTGAATGCAAGGACCTATTAATTTGAAGTTGGGTTGATATCGCGCTACGCCACACCACGTTTAATGATTTAAAGCCAAAAACTTTGTTACTGGCGAACAGCATAAATCGTAATAACGTATTTATTGTAGATCAAATTATAATATATTTTAATTTTAATAAAAATTTGCTCTTCTGCGTGCGTGTGTGTTGTGTTGTGTTGTAGCAGTGGTTTAACGAATATCTATTTTAGTCATGAATACAATAAAATTTTATCGATAGTACTAAAATTGAAACATGAACAGTAAGCGTCACGCGTTTATTTAATACTAATAAATTGATGATTAAAAATCAAAAGTGTAAATCCGTCTGTACAGCGTCTTTAAATATTTTCATAGTAGCTAGGGATGTCTCAATAATTGAACAAAATTCGGTGGATGACGTCCATATGACGCAGATGATGTGACGCAGTCTGTCACACCGGACAGTACGGCGAATGGTTGGAGACGGCGCGCGCGTTTGTCAGTCAGTGTCCGCCTTGGACGCCAGCACCTGCGCTTGCACATACATCAACAAATACGCGAAAGTCGCGCTAGTCTTTATTAGTATTCAAGCTGTGTGCTAAATAGCCAAGCTCATTTGGAAAGGTCCGGCGGTCCTTTCTTCGTTTGTTACGTGTCAGTTCTGTTTAACCCATATATTGTCACCGTAAGTACATTAAAATTTTCGTAATTTTAGGAATTCTGTAACATTTTTCCGTAACACAAATAATCATATTTTTTAAATTTCATATTGTAAAATACATGTTACTATTATTTTTTTTTTTTTTTGTCAAAACATCGGTTCGTGTCATCGAAACATAAATGTTTGTTAAAAATCAATTTTACTGGACGTGCTTGGGTATACAATATAAATATTATCTACATATAATATGCGTAACGAAAATATTGATAAACGTGCTTATAAATGCTGCTAATTATTTTTCCTCCTAACCCAACCGATAATATATCAATAAAATTCAGGAATTATTTCACATTTTTTTAAATTAAAACTACTGCTGCTTTTCTCAATGTTGTTAACAAAATGTGTTTTAACATAAGTATTCACCAAAAATGGTTAATAAACTTAATACATTACGTCACACTCGATCAACACCGATATAGAATTCAGCAACATATTAGTAAGGTTACCATTGACATTGAAAAAAATTCAACGATCACTACTGGTTGTTGACTCAGCTGACAAGAATAAATTTTAAATAAAATTTTAGGCCATTGTGGAACTAATTAAACAAGCCAGCATCTCATTAACAGGCAAGGATTTAAATTTTGAACGGAAAATAATTAATATGTATATGGTATTTATATCAATCCAAACGGATTGATAGTTTTAGACGAAGCATGCGCCAGCGCATGAGAAATTATACTCTTCTCCGCAACAATATATTGCCATAGAGTTGGGAGTCGGGTTAGGGGTTTCGCCATAATCCTGACCCCCTAAGTGTTTCGAGTCCTCTCCGTATGCCGGCTTAGGGATCGAAGAAGATCCCGGCTGAGACTCAAGAAGACAAGGTATAAGCTGCTCTACATGCGTATTAGGGACGAGCAACTGGGTGACGTATGAATACACTCCCCGACCCGAGCTAGTAGTAGCGCCATCTAGGCAGACTGGATAGCTCGACGACCCTGAGAACCGATAGACGTGGTACTGATGACCGCCGGTTTGGTGTCCAGAGCGGGCAGGATGGCGGCG